CCTAGTATGTATATATATATATATTTTTTTTTTTTGAAAATTTTTAATTACAATTAATTTATAAAATAAAAAAATAAAAACATTATAATAATGATTAAAATGAAATATTATCAAAAATAATAAATTAAATTTTTAATAGTTAAATATAAAAAAGGTTTATAAAAATATTTTCTTCACAAAAATTTATTTATTTCTAAATTCTTTTATTTTGGGAGTGAATGCGGAGTGAATTTTATTATTAATAAAAATTAACTCCTTCTCGGAGTAAATATCACTCCGTAAATTTTTTACAGTGTATAGTATATTTTTGGTAACTGTACAGCATAAGTGCGGTATATATACTGGATATTTACAGTATAAAAACTGGCCAAAACAATTATAGTTTAACCGCATTATTATGGTAAATATACGGCATGAGCATAAATGCCGAAAAATTACGGTACTTTTACGGCATTCTTAAAACCGCGAGGGATTTCTTAAAAAAAAAGTTGACTTATTTAAAAATAATATTTAATAACAATTAATCCCAAACATAAATGCAATCTTACGGAAATCTCCGAATTGTACCGATCAGACCCGATTTTTTAAATTCTGACCCCCTACCTTACGATTGCGATGAGAAAATATCTCACAGAGTTAATAAAATTTATTGTATTTTTTTATGGTTTAGAATGATTAAAATAATAATATTGTATTATGAAATAATATTAATTTTCTGGCAAATAGAAAAAAATTACATAGTCATTCCATTTGAAATTTTAAAGAAAATTTGAGTTATTAATGAGCGTGAGAGAAAATCTCACAGTGAGAGTGCTGAAGGGTTGAAATTTAACAAAATTTCGAGCAAACATTTTTCCTTGGTTATAATTTCATATTGTAGGAGATAACAATCAAAACATAATTCATTTCATAGATATATAAATTAATATAAGGAAAAAAATTATCTTCATCATAAGTCATAAGTAATATAGACATACACAGCTTAAATTACACTGAGAGAAAAGTGGATAGTTGGCTGAAATATAATGTCACAAGTATAAAAATATTTCTAAACGTTTTTTTTTTTTTTAATTTATTCGAACTAAGGTAAAAGCCCCAATTATTGATGCTATAAGAGACAAAGTTATGATTTGATTTTTTTTAAACAATCAAATATAAATATCGTTGAATTTTGTTTGTGGTAATGTCTTAAGTAATGTTTTAACTAATCAATCTCTTTTTTTAAAATGATAATCAGTAATATTTACTAATTAATTTTAAATAATTAAATAGATGATCTGGATATACCAATTATTGACGGGTTTAAAAACTGATTGATCTAATTATTGACGTACCGTCACCCCAATTATTGACGCCCCTACTGCGCATGCGTCGAATCATTTGGTTATGTTCTCTTATTTATCAAAACTTGATATAAAGTAATCAATATTATTAAAATCAATTAATTATAATTTCCATGAATGATTAATTAATATTATTAAAAATATAACAATTTATTTAAAAACTTATTTAACTCTAAAACACGCCGAGTTATTTGACAGTTAAAAGCCTTGTATATAATCGCGTAACGTATTTTATGCTTAGAAAAAATGGCGTCATAGCGTTGTCGACTGGCTGTCAATGTGGGATTCACCGTAAAAATTATGAACTAGTTATTGACTCCCATTATTTAAATATTATAAAGCATACAATTAATTTCGATTATTTAATTTTATAAATATTTCATATATTATTAAATTAATTCAAAAAAAAGTAGAGATCATATAATTACATGAAAAAATTAATTTAAACTCGGCAGTTAAAAAAAAATGCTTTTCTAACCAAAGTTGTTAAGAAAATAGACGCTCGTAAGCTGATTTGATGAACTGGTGCTAACTTTATTTTTTTTTTAATAACTAATATTTAATATTTTTAACTGCAAGTGATTTTTTTCAATTTTTTAATTAATTAAAATTTAATAAAAATTTAATATATTTAAAAATAATGTAGGGTGTCAATATTTAGACCCCCGTCAATAATTGGGGCTTTTACCTAACGCATTTGTTTAAGTAACTATTGATAAATAGTTATAAGGACTATATTTGTTCTGTTATGGCGTTAAAAAAAAAGTTATTAGGTGACTGAAAGATCGTTATGAACAATGTCTCAGATAGCTTAATTGAAGGAGCCCTTGGTGGGTAACAAAAAGATCCGGGTTCGATTCCCGGTCCAGGCTGTCCAAATTATTTTTTCTGTTTTCTAAGTTAAAGCTTATCAAGACGACTATTAAGCCCATATTTAACTAAAAATAGTTTAAGTAACTATGTATTAGAGTTCAATGTAATAAATAATTTTATTAGGTATGAAAACTTCAATTAAATAATGGTGATGCTATTTAACTAGATTTTCCTAGTTCAGAGAACTAAATTTTTCTCTCAGTGCATTTAAATCCGAAATTGTTGGATAAATTGAACATTTTCTTATTACTCTTTTTAATAATTATTTAAAATATGGACCAGCAACTTTATAATGTAATCTAGGGACAAAATATGTGTTTGATTGTATCGTTTCAAGACTCATTAAATCTTGGATTCCAAATATATTTTAATTATATTTATTTGATATAAATTTATTTATCTGTGTATGTTCGTTAATAATTTTCAAATGAAAAACTATCTGTCGTTCATTCAAAAAATGATTTGTCGAAGCGTAATGCCGAGATCACCTTGTGATTGGTTGTAAAAGACAAAATATTATTTTATTGGTACATATTGATTGAACAAAATATTTCAAATGTACAGTAAAAAATTGTGTGTCATTGCGTCAAAAAATTTTATGTTAAAAATTTTTATGTTAAACACTTTTTTGTGCTGATTTAACAGAATAAATGTCAAATTTATACATAAAAGTGTAAAATTTTGAACACTAAGTTTTTTGACGCAATGACGCAAAATTTTTTACTGTGTGTAATTCATTTCTTTAAAAGTAACTTTGAATGTATATTAATGAAAAGATGCGATTCAAAGGCGACAAACCGAATTTTTCTACTTTTTGACAAATCACGTTTTGATAGTAAGCTCCTCAAGCGATAAATTTCCCTTCAATTTTAAAAATTATTTTTTCCCAGTCGAAATCAAAATAACCATGCATAGGGTTATCTATTCTAATATAAAGTATCTATTAAGTCACTTGGATATTTTTACAGGCACGGATACAATCCTTTAACATCAGAATTCTTCCAGACTTGGATGTATAGTTATATCCATGCCTCCAAAAGTTCCTATTTTAGAATATCGTATTCATTCCATGCCTGTAAAAATATCCACAAAGTGTCTTAATAATATCACCGATTCTAATAAATATACTGTGAATAATTGCTTTCAATGACAATTGAAACCAATTGATTAGCGATAAGCAGTTTTCTAACAATTTTTCTAAAAAGCGGCTCAACATTAGGCTCAGGATGATAGACTTTAACAGTGCCTTGATGATCATTAACCCTATCCAAAAGACTTACATTCAAAGGTGAGTCGACGTTGGCGCTCCATGATCCCATCGGAGTAGTAGAAATAACATTCCCGTTGTCAATGACCTTCATGTTGATGTACATATCAAAAGACGCATGATGTTCGCCATTGCGTTTATCCCAAGCAAATCCTGCAAAAGTGGGTTCAAATCCAGTTTTGGTTGCGTCTATCAACCACTTCAGTAGATTGAATCCATCTCGCGATGGCGTGTTGTTCCGGTTGTATTGATCGCAAGTAATATGAGAAGGTGCATTTGGCCAAGCATTGTTCTTTATCGCTGATTTCATAGCACTGACTCCAACTCGGACCAAGTCGTAGTAAAACGCGGAGGCTAGATACGGTTTCTGGATGATTCCTTGGTTGGTCAGGGAACTGAGATGTTGTTGATTGGAAGATGTCAATTTTGGTTCGAAGAGCAGCACAGTGATGTTTTTGTTGTTGCACTTGAGTTGTGGCTGTTCAGACATAGTCAGAGCGTACCAGCCGAATTTCCGACCAGTGAAGTTTTTCATATCAGCGATGTCCAGGTACTTGATCAAGGTGTTTTCGTTTCCCAGGAGGAAGAAGTTTACGATATCCAGGTCCCGGAGTCTTTGCAACTGATCGTTGACTTCCTTGTCGGTGGTCTTAGAACGAACGATCAAGTGCCGGGTTGGAATATTCAGGAGGAGACTCTTGTACTTGTGGTCCATGACGAAACCGTTGTCGAAGATTATTGCAGCGTTGGTGATGTTCATGTCGGAACAAACTTGCCGGATTGCTTCTGGGATCAAATCTGCTGGAGGCATGATCTGGACCAGGTACCTCTGCTGATCGTGGCTCAGGTCCAGCCAGGGTCGCAGGTCGTTCTTCTGACCAAACTGGGCGGAGAATGTTGGAACCCCCACTGCTGCTGTGAAGGAACAAACTGTCTCTGCGCCATAGCCTCCCCTTGTTACGTCCAGGACCAAGTCTGGGACACCTGGACCTCCATCGCGGACTGCTGGGTCCCAGGCTGCGCAGATTTTGTCTAGAGCTGCTTTTGGGTCAGAGCCATTTATCTGGACTACGATCACGTTGCCTAGAACGGTTGGGTCCTTGTCTTTGATTGTCACCAAAGCGTTTTTGACGCTGTTGTTTCCGATGTCGTTCTCCTCGTCGTTGATCACAACTGGAATAGTTCGGAAGTGAGTATTAGTTTTTGGGGGAGAATTGCTCGGGAATTTGATTGAAAATCAAGCTTGATAGAGTTTTGTTTAGCGGTTAGAGAGTACAGGGTGCGAACGGGAAATTTTTAAATTCAATTAAACGAAATCGATTGGACGGCGGGGTTGTTTCAATGGATAACAATGGGGTAAGGAAAATAGAAAAATTGAGATATTGGATTTGATTGGAAATTTTATGAGGTTTGGATTGACCAATGTTTTTAATTTGGGGTGAATTTTTTAACTGATTATATAGAAATTTATAGACTTGAATTTAATTGTTCGGCTCTGTCCTCGCAGGTTTGGAAATGCCGCAAAGATTCGATATTTATACACGGAGAGAAAAGAATAGAACTTATTCCTATGTTAGAATGGTAACCATTACCATGTTACATAGTAACGGAAGTTTTTGTGAGAACCTTGTGTAAATTTGCTAATAAAAATCTTAGAAATTGTGATAAAAATATGAACAATCACTCATTCGATGCGGAATCAAATTCTGAAAATAATGTAGTTTTTTTATTTTTTTGATAAAAATTTCAATTTGTTATTAACAAAAAAAATAATCAAAATAAAAAATCTCAGTTTTTCGTAAATAACTCAATAATTATGGTTGATGTCGAAAATCGGAAAACAGATTCTTAAAGAGGAGGAAATTTCTGAAAAAAAGTCTCGACTCCCGGAACTCTAGCTTGAAAAACAATAATTTTTATTTA